AATTAAAAAAATGCCTCAAACAAGATCACTCAGGCCAGCCTATACTGGCACCAGACAAAACTCCTCTACTGCTTTGCCCCAGGCCAACTATCACTTACAAAGGAAAACTATTTGTGAAAACGTGATCTTATATTGTATTGGAATGTGTACAAGTGCTGAGGGAATATTGTTCTGCCGCACATAGTGGGGGAAAAAACAATCGATGTGTGAAAATCCACATTTTATATGTGTGTGTACTCTACATGTATAATGAAATTTTCAACACCTTGACTTTTCACACGATCGTTCAAAAAAAAAGAGAACTTTAAAATGTTTGTGTGTTTCACTTGTATCTCTCTTCGTGAATAAATGTTTTTTTCTTTGATGAAATAGCGAATTAAAATCTCTGCTGATTCAAGATCATTTGTGAAACTAACCTTTGAAATAATAGCATTAGCATTTGTTTTCAAACATGCAATATGTTAGCCTGAATGCACCTGAAATAAATATTTTAATTATTTAACAAGTGATATAATATTCTTGGTTATTTCGGTAAAGTCACGTAGAAGGGAAATAATAAAATAGTACAAATATAAAAGAATAAAAATTATCACGACATTTCGACTGCAACACAAGCAATCATCATCAGGTGTGAAATCCACAGCAAATTTTTTTGCTGTGGATTTATTATTTCCCTTCTACGTGACTTTACCGAAAGAACCAATAATATGAATCCCTGCAGTCACGAACGCTTTAAATAAAAATTTAAGTGATATAATGTCAAACAAAAACTTTCATTTTAATCAGTGGCGGGGGATGCAAAGTCATACAAAATATGATATTCACGTATTTGTTGTTTTGAGCAACGAGAAATATATAAAAACAAAGCTTTTGGAGCCTATTAAATATTATAACGATGGCACTGAACACATTTTCAGTGGTGATGGGCGTTGCTTTCTTTCGTGAAAAAAAATTACGAACTAAAACGGTTGATTGAAAACAAGGTTTTCGTCAATGTTGGACTTCTAAGGAAAGCATTTGAATTATTTTGTGTGTGCATTCCGTAATAATGTGTTATTTTCTGGTGCGCGCAGAGGGACGCTGGTAGGTACAACTTTTCAACAAAATAAACATCCTGGGAATTAAAATTTGTTTCACTGAGGGTGTGTTATGAAAAGAAAAGCTCATCACAGATGGCACAGATAATGCATAGGATGCCTTTGTTAATTCAGACCATACTCTTCGTCACAAGAGCACTTTATATTACGGGTAATTTAATTGCTTGAGCAACACTGTGTTCTGCTTGGGTCCAATATCCCAGGGACGGTGAACTTTGTGAATAATATTGAGTAGGTGTAATATTACCCTTCAGAGTGTGGAGGCGATTATGTTGACTGTCAGCAGTGCCAGGATGATGCAACCCAAAGCAGAAAAATCTTGAGATTCGAAGAAATTATCTTGGAGACTTCTTTTCTTAACATTGGCAGTAAAAGTGTAATCAATATGCTCACGAGGTGCCAAAGGTGATTATGTTTTGCACGCATTGTCATAAATATGCCATCTTTATATTTAAAATAGTAATTAAAATGGCTACTGCCCGAGGCTGTTGTAAATAAATTCACATTATAAATTCACATTATAAGTCCAATAAAGAAAATTGTCCCTGGTATTTTCTTGTAATAGCAACCTGCATAATGTGTTTGTGCAAATGTAAAATAGCAAGGGTTGTTCTCTACCCTAATTCGTAACTGACATGTTACTAAATGTAATTTAACAAGCTCGAGCAAGTTAACAAATGTGTAGCCTCGAAAATTTCGAAGAAATTGTTTGTACGGTTTTTCAAAACGTTGCAATAAGCTCCTGCATGGCCAGGCAGGGAAACGTCGTGCCCGCTATATGAGGGTTTGATTCCTCCAAAATGCAATAAAATTCCACACGAAAAGTTTTGTACACTGCAAAAAAAAAAACAAAGTGCATGCACAGCCTGCACACCTGTGGTGTTATTGAAAGCAGGTGCTCACTGCCGTTAATAAGCATGCTTACAATGTCATAATACATTATTGCAGACCAAATGCATTATGGCATATTGTTAGGACACTTCATGTTTTAAATGCCCACTGTTCTCCGATCCATAACTCCCCCAGTTTGCCACTTCTGGGGGTTTTTCTGATGTCACGGACCGGTGATCCCAATTTGATTCCCGCTCACAACCAGTGTCAATGACGGTGATCTGAACCGGCGCAGGGCCTCCCCTAGGTCAATTCAGCCTTGACAGAGTACCTGGTGTGGTCTGTTAACATCACCAGGCATGGGGCTGGCCACCCTCCATAGGTGCTCGTTAACAGCACTTGCTCCAAAAGCCTGTTAGGACTATGCGGGGGATCTTTGTACATCAAACGGCGGTACTTCTTACCCCCTCGAGAGCGGTTCTGCTCGAATAAAATTATCGGCTACGTTACTGATTATAGCCTTGCGCCAAAGTGCATCACTCAAGTCGAGATCTCGCTTCTCGGGGAATCTTCGGCGAATCGAACGTTTCGTCCATCTGCTCGCCTCTTCACAGTGGTCATTCCAACAGGTGCCACAGGGGCCATTACCATGGACCATTTTGAGGCAATGGATATAAATCATGAATTTGTTCAGTGGCGGCGATGCTTAATTTCTCTCACTTGATACAGCTATCGTGCTGTGACGGTTCTACCTGAAGACGGAGGCTTGTGTTGCCTCCGAAACGTCGTGATTTTTATTTTATTTTTATTTTACTTTCATTAATTATAATTTTTTACCTACGTGACTTTACCGAAAAAACCTAAGAATATGAATCATTGCAGTCACGAAAGCTTCAAATCTAGAAAAAAAAGCTTTTTTGGAGTTAGAGCGCGTAAAAGGGGGAAAAACCTATTATCATATTTTGGTATTGGCAAAGGAGGTCCCATGATGTAGATGCTCACCCCGAGCTCTCATTACTCTAATAGTGCATTGTCTTTGTGCTGTACGCCTTTTGGTGTCCTCTGGTCTAACACCGTTTGAGACAAAGAAAGCTGTCTCTGGTGTGGACCAATCAGTTTCAAAGGCAATCAGTAGATATGATCAGAGTATGTCTTGTTTGCATTCTGACCACAAGCATTGTGGTTAATGCAGACACGATTCCTTGTAAAAGGTTTCAGTTTGGTGTTTTAACATCTTAACACCTGTTTCTTTGCCAGAAAATAGTGGAAAACCCATTATCATATAAATGTGTCGTTAAACCCGCCACTACCCGACACAGCCATCGCAGCCAATTAATAATGTGTCGGGTTTAACGACACATTTATATTTATGCGATCTAACCCCAAACAAAGCCCCTCTCTATATTATGGATGGCATTGGTCGCGAGAGCCTACGTGTTAAACTGAGGCGATGCTCGTATGCGTGTGCCCGTTACTCGGAACCTTACATCCGGTGTGAATAATTGGGCTAATTGTCGAGACTCTTTCACCGTGACTCACTGGCCAACACCCATCATTGGCTACAATTAAAACGGACAGCGTTGCCTCGCCAAAACGTGCCTCACTCTTCACCTCTTCATAGGGAGGTGAAGAAGGTGCTTTTCGCGGGGCCAGGGTTTTTTTTGACGAGCTATGGAAACCACTTTATAAGATACAAGAGGAACGTTTGTGTCTAAAGGAAAGGAGTTTTTTTGAGGCAGGATTGCTATCTGGATTGCTGTATGGATCGGAGGGCTGACTCTAAACAGGCACAGAGAAACATGCCAAACATATCAACATATTCCGAAAGAACTGCATTGTGTTCTATGGTTATTTCGGTAAAGTCACGTAGATAGAAAAAATTACAATAAAATAATTAAAATAAAGCGAACATTATTTTATTGTAATTTTTTCGATCTACGTGTACTTTACCGAAAGAACTGTAGAATGTGAATTCTTGAAAGTTGTAAGTCAAAATATAACTGCATTGTGCTCCCATTGTCTTAGGTGACCATTAAAATGACCACGGTGCAGTTGTTCAGGAACTGTTGTTTTAGTGCAATGTGAAAAAAGCCGAGTGCTTTTGTACACGTGTTTTCTTTTTTTTTAAACGTGTGGTTTTTCACCCTGCGCTCTCTATTCCGTTCTGATGGGTATTCTCATCATTTGCAGATTTGAGATAACTTACAATTATGATAATATAAGTCATATTCTTGGTTCTTTCGGTAGAGTCACGTAGAAGGGAAATAATAAAATAATAGAAATATAAAAACAATAAAAATTATCACGACGTTTCGACTGCAACACAAGCAATCATGATCAGGTGTGAAATCCACAGCAAGAAAATTTGAAAAAAGTGGCGGTTTGTCTGTGTTCACATTTTTTTGCTGTGGATTTCACACCTGATGATGATTGCTTGTGTTGCAGTCGAAACGTCGTGAGAATTTTCATTGTTTTTATATTAATATTATTTTATTATTTACCTTCTACGTGACTTTACCGAAAGAACCAATAATATGAATCCTTGCAATCACGAAAGCTTTAAATCAAAATATAATATAAGTCGTTAGAATTTGAGCATTCGTTTCCGAAATGAATGTTAGGAAACTTCGTGGCAAGATGGGATCAAGCAATGTCGAAGTCTGGAAGGGAGCACGGCACGTTGGTGTTGTTGATGTGATGAGACACTGGTTAGGACACGCGGACACGAAGGTGGAGGTCGGTTATCAAGACAGGCACCTGGAATGGTCTCCGCGAAATCGGCGGATAAGAGGAAGACGAGATGGTGGTGGGATAGCTTCTCGTCAAGGAGCGCAAACCGTCGAGCAAAGACGGTCACCGCATCCATCGCACGCTTTCAGACGCTATTACTTCCAATATTAGGAAACCGCTGGAGCTATGCACTTTTATAATCGTCGAAAACTCATCTCTTATAATCGTTGAAAACTCATTTCTTTAGAACGGATTTTTGTGTTTAGTTTGTTGTCCTTCCACCCCCCCGCACCTGTGATTAGTACGGTTGGCAATGTACGGTGCGAACAAAGTTCAACTTACATTCAAGGTGTAGTGGCATCAACGGCTCTGGCCATGATAATATCTTGACCTATTGATGTTCATTTCCAAGCATAACACAGGGAGGGCTGCATGTTTTCGACTACACCTTGTGCTGTTTGTAATGACCCCACCTCAGAGGTAGCAACCGGGTACCCGATACCCGTACCCTTCCCGATACCCGGCTACCCGTACCCGGCCGGATACGGATAGCCGTTTGCGACCCTGGTGCGGCCGGGTACGGGTAGGCCGTGAGTCACTGGTGAGTAGCCGTTTGTCACTCATTTGGGGTACGGGTAGGGAATCAAAACTCGTTTGCGACCTGGGGCCCACCTCCACTGGGCTTTATTTAAAATATGCAGTGGTTATTGAACACAGACAAAAAAACTAAATAGTCGTGAAAAACAAACAGCTCCAGAGCTTTAATTGTTTATCCCCCAGCAGCTTTAACATGTTTGTACTGGTCCACATTAAACGGATGTGTTGCAACGAGACAATTTTCCACTTTGTGACCTCTATGCGTCTCTGTCGCGTTGTTTCTGCACTTTACACGTGAAAGGATTCAGACTCCCGGCGTGTTCAGCAAGTTGTGTCTTTATTAGACGACCCACAGGTAACGTCCCCCGGCCATACAGCAGTGTTACACGCCACGCTTCAGCACTCCGCAATCCAGATCTCTCCCCATCCTCCTGTCTCTCGCTCTCCTCGGTTATACCCGCGGTCCACATCCCTTGCCAGTCACCCATTGTCCAGGGCTGCGTCTCAGAATAGATGATTCACTGGCCAAGCATATTTGAGTTCTCTACTTACCGTAGTTAGCGCCCAGGGCTTCCTCCCCCCCCACCCCTCAGGTTATGATTTAACTGGCGAGGTACTGCCGAGTCTCCAAGACACGTGAACCTCATGGCAACTCAGAGGCAAGAGTAGCGGGGCAGATAGTGTGGGTGTGCGAGCCGAAGGCGACAAAAGCAGTCATCAAATCCAACAGCGCCGTTATAGGGGCAGAGCAGTTTTCATTATTTGAGGCGTTGCACTGTGGCAAATGATACAATGCGCCAGAGGTGGGACAAAGTCATTGTTATGCAAGTCCAAGTCGAGTCTGAAGTCATCAAATTCATGACTCGAGTCTGACTCGAGTCCAAGTCACATGACTCGAGTCCACACCTCTGCAATGCGCCATCGTGAAGCGTTGCGATTCATTTGTGCGAGGACAAATTGTGGTCTCCTAACTTAAGAGATGGATTTCATGTGCGTGTGCGTCTGCGTACACACACGCGGTGGCGTAGCGGTGAGCGCGCTGCGCTACGAACCCGGAGACCCGAGTTTGATTCCCGCTCCCGGCAGACATCGGTGACCATTATCTGAACCGGTCATGGGCCTCCCCTAGGTCGACTCAGCCTCAAATGAGCACCTGGTGCGATGTATGAACAGGGTGGCCGCGCGTGGTGTTGGCCACCGACCCCCTCGTGTGCCGTGCACGCCTTCGTAGGTGCTACTCGCTAACGGCACTTGCCCCAACAGTCTGTTAAGGCTATGTGGGGGAACTTTGTCTTTGTGTACACATATGTGCATATGGGAGCATAAGTGGGAGGTCCCTTCGGATGGGGGTGGGGAGTGCCCTGCTGTGCCTAATTAGGTCGCTTTCATTGCTTAAATTGTGCCTCATGAGCTCATGCATTTACAACCGAAACGCAGCATCGTAAAATGAGCCGGGCCCATGGGTAATCAGAAATTATTCTGCCGCTTTTTCACATATACATATTTGTTTTACCCTTCAATTAACCTCACCGACGGGCAATTGGCGCAGCGGAATAGGAATTGCTAATGACCCTGTGGGTGTGTTGTGGGAGGATTGCTGCTTAGTTGTACAATCATCTCTCTCTCTCTCTCTGGTCCCTGTGTGGAACACCGGAGGGATATCTTTGCCTGTCGCTGTGCCTTTCAGTAGGCTACGAAGCCAAGTGGCACTTCATCTGTGTGGGGTCCTTCTTCCTTTGGCTTGAAGTTCCGTGGAAGTCATACGACCCACTGAGCCATGAGATTGAAAGTTAAAAGTTTCCTATCTCTGAAATACTTCGAAAAAAGGTTCTTAAGTAAACATTCACACTTAAAACTTGACACGTTTGCTGCCCATGTAACCGTTTCACAGTCGTGATTATTTTTCCTTTACATTTATATATATTATATATATTTATACATATGAAATACTTTCAGTGCACGACTGCTATTAAATAAGTTAATGAATTTGTGATTTTAATGTTTTACCTTCAAGGTAAGAGAACTTGTATTTGACAAAATACCAACACAACACGGTTCAAGAATGCATCAACAAGGCTCTTTCATGTCCATAGCTGGTGTAATATTTTTTCTCTAAATGTCTGTTTTCGTGTTGGTTGTGAAATTTGACGCAATTATAACACGTGCTTTGGTCTACATGCGGCTTATGGGTATGCACCTCTACATTTAACCCACTAAATTTGGATTCTAAACACAATGGCATTTTGCAGCAACCAAAGAGAGATCATTGTAATTATAATCATATCCACTGCTTTATTCATAGGCACAAGCCTACTGTGTCGGTTTCCATGGTTGACCTGTACAGCCCTCCAATGTGTTTGGCGTAATGTCTGACGTTTCGCTCCACAAAATCCAGGAACAAATCAAGTTCCGGAAGAAGCTCCCAGCATGCACCACGAAACGGCGGACATCGCGAGGGACAGCAAGCAGTACTGTACAATATTCTTGGTTCTTTCGGCAAAGTCATGTAGAAGGGAAATAATAAAAATAAAACAATAAAATTCTCACGACGTTTCGATTGCAACACAAGCAATCATCATCAGGTGTGAAAACCACAGCAAGAGGATTAAAGAGTGCAAGCCTCATCCGGGCGGTCCGGTTATGCAAATATAACTATTATATCGTAAATAACACTGGTCAACACACTCTTTCTGGCATAAGGTATTCCAACGGTTTTAAGGTAATTTTGGGGTGCTGATTCCAAATCTGGCATCAGTTTTTGTCTATCACATCATGTTTTTGAGATATCAAATATTGCAGTTTCAATAAAAACTTAATATTAAATAAATGTGGATATCTACATAAAATGATATTATAAACACACTATCCTAAAAATACAGCACCATATTTTAACACTAAAGCAGTCACTGACTCGCAACAACTTGCAATCATAAGTGACAGAGTTAATTTCGGGTAAAATCAATGAAAATGGGGTATGCCGATACCATAAAAATTAGATGTGATAGAGCAAATCTGAGATCAGATTTGGAATCAGCACCCTGAAATTAGTCTAAACAGCTGCCAAAGTCCAGGCCAGAAAAACATGTTTTTGTTGTTGTTGACCAGTGTAATTGGTGTGCAAGGTTGATAAATAAGTGTCATTCTAATTAATGCAATGCAAATGAAAGCATTTTCCACATAAATGTATATAGGGTGGACCAAAAGTCAGGACACAGGGTTATTTCATTTAACACTGGCGTATACACTGTTTCATTGTTTATTCTGGAAGTTAACATTGTATTTATTACCATTGTTAACACCGATTTTGTTTTCCCTGCGAGGTCGCTTTAATCCCGTCGTCACATGGCCATCAGCCAGCACACCGTCGTCTGTCATCGAGAAACAGCTTATTGTGCTCCCACCACATCACCGGTATCTGCGAGGACTTCGCTCTGGCAATACGAATGGGAAAAATCGAGTGACAAAACTGCTGAATGGAGCCGGCGAGGAATCATCCCCAGTGAGGAGCTCACATCTGGCTCAAATTCCAAATGGCTCACATGGCGGAGCCTCAATAGACTGAGAGTGGGCTTCGGCAGATGCAACTCTCATGAAATCATGGGGGGGGGGGCTTCTGTGCAACCGAACCATGTGCTTGTCAGGAGAAGCAAAGCATGAATCATCTCCTGAGGTCCCCTGCAGCACCACAATGCACTCCTCAAGATTTGGCAATGCCAACATTCGAAGCGGTGGCCTGTGCAGAATATTGAGAAAAGACCTTATAGGTTGGACACAACGAGGAGGAGGAGGAAGAAGAATACTTTAAACCCGTAATTTACAAGACTCGAATTGAGACTAAACGTAATTAATGAATGTTTAAAGATACACTTGTAATCTTTAAATAAATAATTTCAAAAGAAAATTCATGAATGCATTTATGTCAAAACAAGTCAGTTTGAACATTTGTTAAAATAAATTAACCAACCCTATGTGATTTGTTGAAATGAACCCTATGTGTCCTGACTTTTGGGCCACGCTGTTGATATGACTGACATTGCGCATTATCTTACCGCATTATTATTAAGGGAGCCAAACTCGAGCATAATACCATGAATTGATGAAAGGCGCCAGGCAGAATATCGGACTTGGTCCAATAGTAGTTCAATAAATGCAGTAAATTTAGCACCAGCACTGTGGCAATGATTAATGGAACAATAAAGCATTGCTAAATTAGATGTATATATGTACAGTTGTTAATGCATTTTATTCTCGCGTGTACAGTAAAAATGATAAAATTCACGAGATAAACAAAAGCAGGATGGTGTACCTTTGGAAAACGTAATTTGATAAGGAAAGTCAACAAACCAAAAGTGCCTAAATAACGAGTGTGAGTTGTTTGTTGTATTTGCTTGTGTGCCACCGCCAACCCAACAATGTAAACAAAAAAATCCCTTTTAAGAAAGTGTTTAATACGGGTATATTATCCCCAAAAGGACACGTGGATCAGTAACGTAGGCGTTGATGAAGAAAAAAAAGGAACAAAAGCTGAAAAGCGCGAGAAAGAAGGAGTCGAGAGACGCGTGCTTGGAATGACATGGAGAGGAACGGAAACACGTGCAGCCGGGAACAAACAAACATTGGGAGCAGTGGTTGTTCTTTTCTGGGGGGCCGACGGCCGCACCCCACCGCTACTCGCCGGGCAGGTGGGGCGCAACGTTTGCCCCCTCCACTCCCTCTTTCACTCCCTCTTTCACCGCGTCGATCGCCCCCTCCCCGTATTAGCACCCCCTCTGAGGGACATCGCTAAATCGCTGGCTCACCGCCGCACGGGGTTATTCCACACACGCACACATGCGCTAATGCTACGGCGGCGGCGAGCACGATCAATTTCGGCAAGCGGGTTTAACGCACCCCATCACCGCCCTCAAATACTC